TCTGCCCAACGTGCAGCAAACCCAATCACTGGGTTTGCAGCAAGTAGTTTATCCGAGAGGAGATGGGAGGGCAAGTGTTAAACTCACCTCCAAAAAGGGGAGAGAACAAGTTTTTTATAATCATAGAGGTTGAGACTACATACATATTGATGAAAAGGGTGGGAAAATTTATAATTCTTCGTGAGGAAAGATGGAGGATGCTAATTGAGCAAACATATATGTAACATACACCCCATGTTCAGTTTGGGGTGGAGACTTCCCATCAAAAGGAGGAAAAAATGCATCCCCTGATGTCAGATGGATATCTTAGGACAAGGAGAAGGGGCATATTTTGAGAGCTGATATAAAGTGGATGGGGTCTTGGGCTCATTAGCTCAGGTGAGGAATGCAGGGTCTTGCTTGTTCCTAGGCTAGAACCCGATCAATTGACCTTGAGTCCAGGCTTCTGCAGAGACAGGTAATGGATTTGTTAATGAGTCTGAAATGATATAATAGCTGATTAGGGAAAAACGGTTCTTTGAAAAACAAGCTTCAAATTTTCTACTAGTTTCAACTTTATCAACGCTAAGGGGCACACATAGTTTCAGATCATGTACATATTTTGTTAGATTTATGTCTAAATATTTCATTTTGGGGGGAGTGTGAATGTAAATGACATTATGTTTTTAATTTCCAATTCCACTTGTTCATTGCTGGCATATAGGAAAGCTATTGACTTTGGTATATTAACCTGCAACATTGCTATCATCACTTATTATTTCCAAGAGTTTGTCAGTTCTTTTGGATTTTCTGCATAGATGATCATAGCACCTGCAAACAAAGACAATTTTCTTTCTTTCTTCCCAATCTGTTATTTCCTTTCCTTTTCTTATTGTTTTATGGCTAGGGCTTCCAGTTCAGTGTTTAAAAGCAGTGGTAAAAGTGGACATCCTTGCCTTGTTTCTGACTTAGTGGAAAAGCTTCTATTTTCTCACCATTGAGCTTGGTGCTAGATGTAAGCTTTTTTTGTAGATGGCATTCTTTTAAATGGGAGAAAGGAAGCGCTGTGTACAGTTATTCTTAAATAAACAATATTAGATTTTGTTGCCCCCTAGTTAGCTCCATGCTGGCCCTTTCTTAGCTTTAGATCCTCCTCCTGGCAGGCAGTTCATGTCAATTATAGGCAGTTACATCTGATTTTGGTGCTAATCCTAAGCCAGGAGTCTCCAGGCAGCAGAATGCCTTTCCTACTCGGACTTGGAATTAGTACTTGGTGCTTCTAGAGTAATTCTTGGGCATTTACATGGTCCCTGAATTACAGATTCCTCCTAATCGGTCTTGTTTGGTCCATAAAACTTGAGGTCTACCTCACTTACCTCAGTATAGCACCTTAGCTACTTTCCATTTTCTGAAGCTAAGTAAACCAGGTTGGAGCGATGACATCTGTGTGGTTTTTGCCTGCCTCCATGCTCCTCCAGGAGCTGATCTTTTCCCACATGTTTGCATTTCTGCTCCAAAGTAGACCAGCCAGCCAGAATATGATACGTAATTCCATGACTGCCATTTTGTTACAACTCTTGCTAAAGCATCCCATCTGATGGACCCATCCCTTTGGGTCCACAGCTCTTATGATGGTAAGGTACTGTCTGCTTTTTTTTTTTAATATAAATTTTTAAAATATTTATTTATTTTTGAGTGGGTGGGGGAGAGACAGAGAGAGGGAGACACAGAATCCAAAGCAGGCTTCAGGCTCGGAGCTGTCAGCACAGAGTCCAATGCGGGGCTTGAATTCATGAACTGCGAGATCATGACCTGAGCTGAAGTCAGATGCTTAACCAACCGAGTCACCCAGGCGCCCCTACTGTCTGCCTTTTAAAAGCCAGATGCACAGCTCAATCAGTTAGACTAATCCAGTTGCCATTTGCTCTCAAAATTATTGAAGTCCCATCATGCCTTATCTTAGTTAATGATAAGGCATGATCATTTTTGACCCTGAAGACCCTTTGTCTCTTTTCACCCTGAAGTTATTTCCCCAGAAAAGGATGACTGCATCTTATCTGATCATATGTGACCCTAATTCATTATCAATCAAGCCAAATTCTTACAATATGCACAGTCCTGAGATAATTCACATAAAAGAGGGGGAAAAAAGGCTCATTACCGTATTTATTTATGCCTTATATGAAGAAATTAGGTTACCACCTCCATCCCCATGTCTCATAAACCTGTATTTCCAGTCCAGATCTCTCCTTTAACTTACACCTTTAACCTGGATGCATGACAAGTACATCAAACTCAACATATTAGACATGGAAGCTCATCTCTTCTTGCCTCTCTTACCTCCTTGTTTAACAGCAATTACAAAAACTCCCTGCTTCTCTGTATCTGTCCCACCTACCTAATTGCCTAAAGTAGAAACCTGGATTTCACCTTCCATTCCCTCACACCTCACATACAATCAGTCAACCAGTCCCATTAAATCTCTCTCGTGAGTACTTCTCGAGTCTGTTTATTTCTCTCCGTGCCACTGCCAACATCCTAATTCAGGCCACCCCCACAAAAAACTTCCAACTCCTTAACATTGTACAGCAGATTTATATCTTGAAGTATTATTGTGCATTAATCCATAGTTTCTTGCCTAGTCTGCCTTTTCCTGCGACAAGAACAATTGGCTACCACATGAAAGGCAGAGTACAGAGCCTATAAACTTTTACTGGTCAAAATCAAGAGGCCCATGTCAGATAAATTACTTATTCTAACTCCTAGCTTAGCACTTTAAAAAACTCAACTAAAAAGTCTGCTAATGGAAAATCATAAGTAAAATGATATTTATTTTAGCAAGCATTTGCTATGTGCCAGGCCATATAAATATAGTATACCACTTAGCATAGTATATATACTATATTAGTATAATACTAATATCACATATATTCTTATTACAATAGTTTTATAAGGTAGATACTATAACTACCTATGTTTTTGGATGAGGAAGATGATAAACACATTGTTGAGAAGATAATATATGGCCGCAGAGCCAGAATTTGAGCCAGTTAGTTTGCCTACAGAATTCGACCTCTTGGCCATTACACCCTGCTGCTTCTCCATGGATGGTCTATGAATATAGAAACTTTTTAAGCTTCACAGCAGAAGTTTGACTTGTTACATTTAGCATGACTGACAATTATAAAACATTATTCAAATGTTGTAATACCAATAACATAGGGTTTCTGGGCAAAGAACACATTATCCTGGTAGAAACTTTAAATTTACAGAAGCCAGGGCCTTAGACAAGGACACTGGTGTCCCTGTCTGCTTGCAGGAGACACACACATGCTGATATTCCACACTACTAGCTGCATCTAGAAGACTTTCAGCAGGATGGCACATATGGATTCAATACCTCTTTGCTTTCCACTTGTGAATATGTTGTTTTTATGGCTCTGTGTCATCTATCCATTAAGTATGTCTCTTGATAAATGTTTCCTCTGCCAGTAGATAGTAAGATTCTCAAGGCCAAGAGTAGTATATTCTACTTATGTACTGCAATGGAACCTCCCTCAGTCTTCCCACTAAAGCATCAAATCCCTCCAATTCTCAATTTCCCTTGAGCTTCACAATGTTCTGCTGAGCTTTGATGTAATTTAACTATAAATTATAAAGCTGTCTAAAATTAAACATAATGTTTGGCAAGAACTGCAAATTCTACAATCCCCAAAACCCAGAGTAACTTTAAAAAATATACATCAAATCGGGGCGCCTGGGTGGCTCAGTCGCTTAAATGTCCGACTTCAGCTCAGGTCATGATCTCCCAGCTCATGAGTTTAAAACCCATGTTGGACTCTTGACTGTCAGCACAGAGCAAGCTCCTCTGCCCCCTCTCTTCCTGCCCCTCCTCTGCTTGTGCACACCGTCTGTCTCTCTCTCTCACAAAAATAAACATTAAAAACTTAAGTATATATACATATATACACATATACATACATATATATATAATCTATGTCTCATTTTTCTTCTCCTTTAGTAGCAAAAAAAATTTTCACCCATAACTTCTCTCCCTTAGTCACCAAATTCTGAATTCTGCTATCACAAATGCCTCTTCTGTCACCTCTTTCTCCTCTCCACTGACCCTGACCAAGTTCAGGCCATCATTCTCCCTCCCCTGAACCACTGAGAAAGTCTCCCAATAGATTGCTCTGAATTCAATTTTTTATTAGTAGAATGCATCCTTTGTATTTGTATTGCTATATTTCTAAACGCTGATATGATCACACCTATTCATTCAAGACAGCTTGCACAGAATACAGTCCAAATTCCTTACTTACCTTTAAGGCTCCCCATGTGATCAGCCTTGGTTTCAATCTAGCTGGCTAACGCACTGAGGTGAGAAGCAGGTCTCCTTGAAAATCTGGAATAGTTATAAGATATTCCCCACTTCCCACCTGTGTGTGTGCACGTGTGGGTGTTTGTTTTTAAATGGAATCATTAACATCAATCTCACACATGGTGATTGCTCAAATGAAAACTTATCACAGCCTGTGTGTGTCTTAGTGCTACCGTAATTTACCCAAACAGAGGCTCTAGGCCTTCAGAGCAGTGTCATCATCTTTTGAGGGGACCAGCAGCCAGAGAAGGCCGACCCTGGAGAGTAAACTGGCTTTCTTTAGCCCTGGGGTCTGGAAAGGGAATCCTGATTTACTTTCAATTTTCCTCAGACTTGACCTCACCTCAAAATTGCATGAGATCTTCATGAATAAAAACGCGACCAAAACAAACAAAAAAAAAATAAGTCTGTGTGTTTGTTTTTCTTGCCATCATGTTATCATGCCTCGGTATTATAAGCAATCGTGTAAACACAAGCCTGGAAAGGAAATACTTTTGAGCGGCTAAGAAAATTCCCACAGCTGCTGCAGCCTAGACCAACAGGGGTGCCCCCTGAAGTCTCGCGAGAGAGCACAGACAGGCGCTGTGGTCTCCCGGTCTCTCGCGATAACCAAGCTTCAGCGTCTCCAGGGGCAACAGCAATGGCGGCTCCCTTGTCCGAGCGGCTCTTCTCGCTGGAGCTGCTTGTAGACTGGGTGCGTCTTGAAGCCGGGCTGCTGCCGCCGCCGCCGCCCGTGGCCGAGGTGGAGGAGGACGACGAGGAGGAGGCATCGCCACCACGGCTGTCGCGCGACCTGTGCCCCGCAGTGGCCTTCCGCCTGCTGGACTTCCCAACGCTGCTGGTTTACCCTCCCAACGGCCCCGGCGCCCCAGCTCCGGAACCCCGGCCCGGCCTGGTCAGCTTCGGTCGCGGCAAGTCCTGTCTCTTCCGCCTGTACCCCGCCACCCTGCACCGCCTGCTCCTTCGGACGCCGCTTTACACTTTGCTGCTGCAGCTGCCCCCCGGGCGCCCAACTCCTGCCCCGCAGCTCCTGGGTGCCTGTAGCATCTCTCTGGCTGCCGCCGCCCACAAGGTCCTGGGACAGGCCGCCGCCTCCGGCCGCTCCCACGCTCATCGAGGAAGTTTCCCTCTGCATAACCAAGTCGGGGAGGGGATTGGGGACATTGCCCTGGGCTACCGCTTGACTGATTTGGGAAGCAGCTTGTTGGGCCATCTCGAGCGGCCAGTGGCTACCGCGGGAGGTGGGGTGGAGCGTGTAGAGGTCAGTTCCCAAACCCCACGGGAGAAACAGCAGCCAAACTCGGGGCCAAGACCCAGGGATGCTGCTAAGTCTCTTGTGAGTTTAAAAATCCCAAAGGCACAGAAGGATTTGAAGGAAGTAGCTTTCGGTGATAAGACCAACTCTCTTAACACAGTTTCTGTGGAGCACAGCAAAACCAGCTCTATTTGTTCAGATTCTAGTGGTGGGAGGAGCGTTAGCCCCCCAAATGAGGAAGTCACAGAGTTGGACATCGAAGCCAACATATTTTGCCCTCCTCCTCTGTATTACACTCATTTGACCCAAGGAACGATGCCCCCTGTACAGGGTACAATCACCATTAAGCCTCAAATAAATGCACCTGAGGAATCGGACGGTGTTTCCCTGGAGGGAAATCATGTAGCTGTCCCAACACATACTGATTCTCTGAAACATACTAATTGTGGGATACGTGGGGGTCCTCCAAAGCTCATAAATTCTCCGCATGTTCAGGATGTAGAAGCAAGCGATCAAACTGCATGTCCCCCGCAAACTGGACAAAGTAGAATCGATACAATAAGGCAACTGCCTTTGTTAAACGCTTTGTTGGTTGAGTTGTCTTTGTTATATAACCAACCTATGGCAAGCCCCGCTCAAATACATCCTCACTTAGCCTGGTTATATAGAACTGAGGAAAAGAAGTCCCCAGAATCTTCTGCCAAATGCACCTGTAAATCTGAATCTAAGAAGGGTAAGCTTTCTATGGTGGAAAATGACAAGTCAGCGAATCTCCAGTGTAAAAAGAACCAAGTTGAAACCCTCAAAAAAGGTAAATATTTCAAAAAGAACAGTGGTAGCTCCCCCAAAAGGGTTCCAAGGGGGAAGCTGCTTTATGGTTTAACAAATACACTGAAACTACGTTTAAAGCAAACAAATCCTGGCATGTTGGTAGTACATGAAAGAAGAGAACAGTATAGAAAAACGCAAGCACAAATGTTGGGTGCAAAACTCAGAATTCCATCATCCAAATTTAAAGTATTAAGCTTTGCCGAGCCACCTCAGAAGCCAGGTCAACTGCCTAAAGAGAAGTGTTCGGAATCAAATGCATCTTTTGCTGAAAACAGTGATACCTCAAAGCAAATCAGTGGTAGTTTTGATGACCCCAGCACAGCTAAAGAAACTAAGCTGAAATGTGCAACTGAAAGAACAGTAGAGTGTGGTGCACACAGAACAAATAATGGTTTGTTGGAAGAAATCATGAGTCCTCCGAACTCCATCGTCCCAGAAAGGTTTACTCATGCAAGTATTTTGGAAGGAGAAATGGGAAGGAAAACCCAAAGTCCGTGTGTTTTCCAGCAGGCTGCAGTTGACAAAATTGTAGTAGATAAAGAAATAGAGGATAAACGCGTCAAAGGCACTGATGAGGACATTCTCACTGATGATATGAGTGAAAATAAACCAAGTAGAAATAGTTATTCTGAAAGCATCTCAGAACTAAAATATTCAGATGACTTCACCAGCCCTTGTTTTTCTGAAGAGATCTCTACCAGTGAGGACACTAGCAGAGTTTTACAAGCTCATGACAGCAGTCTAGCAGCAGAAAATCCAAAGCATAGTCAAGACACAGGTAAGTCCAGTGAAGCAAGACTGTCCATAAGAAAAAACAGCAGCGAAAAGAGTTCTATTCTTAGCCCACCTTTTTCAGCCGGATCACCAATACACTCACATAAAAGATCTCACATTTCAAGGATTCCAGCTAAACGCTTGGAGGAAGATTCTAGTATCTCTGCCAGTGATTTATCTGTATCACAGTGGACTGAGGAAACAGAAAACCCAATAGATCGAAACAGTGTGCAGAGTTCTAAAGTTATTAAAACAAAAATTGGTTGCAAGTCTTCAGAAAAAAGCCAGTCACCTCGGACATCTCAAGTGAGTTCTTATCTGCCATCTAATTTATCAGAACTAGAACTTAATGTCCTGGATAGCAGCACACCAGATCACTTTGAGGAAGATGATGAAGTTGGTTCACTAAATATTTCCAAGCAATGCAAAGATATTTGCGAATTAGTGATAAATAAACTTCCAGGATATACAATGTGAAAATATGTGCTTTTAAAAAATATTTCATTTTTTTAAGAACCTATTTGTAGTGTTAGTGAAACAATTTTTAATAATTCTGTATATTATTTTAGTACATAATTTATATGAATAATTCTTTCTAAGAAATATAAATGTTATTTTGATGCCTAGATAGTATTCTATTAAATTTGACCAGATTAATCGTGAAATCGCCTTATAATCTAGGTAAGACTTAAATTGTTTAATCTCATAAGAATAAAAGTATTCTTTCTAAACTGTCTCTCAAAGTATCCATATGAAGTAACAGTCCTCCTAAAGCTGACTTCAGGTACACCATTAAAAAAAGGCTAGTAATTAGGATATAATTTTAATGGGAATAAGTTTCAATGAGGATAAATCATTTAACCAATATAGAAGAACTTACAGTGTGAGATGCAGAAAGGTACAAAAACATTTAAGAAATACCCCTGCAGGTAGCGTGTACTGTTTGATATAGATAAGAATTCTTTTTAAAAAATTTTTTTAATAAATGTTTTATTTGTTTCTTAGAGAGACAGTGTGAGCAGGGGAGGGTCAGAGAGAGAGGGAGACACAGAATCTGAAACAGGCTCCAGGCTCTGAGCTAGTTGTCAGCACAGAGCCCGATGCGGGGCTTGAACCCACGAACCATGAGATCATGACCTGAGCTGAAGTTGGAGGCTTAACCCACTGAGCCACCCAGGTGCCCCTATATAGATATGAATTCTTCAGGGAAATCTTGGATACGTACACATCCTGTATCCCCAGTAGATGAAGTCCTTTTTATATACTGTCATAGTGCTCTATTTTTTTTTTTTTTTTAACACAGTTTGTATGATTAATGTGTATCTTCTGTTAGGCCTAAGTTTTGTGATGGAAGCGACCATACCTGTCTTGCCCACCAGTATAGTATGGTCTTCGTATCTAGCACAGTCTGACCTGTGGTGGGGGTGTGATATAATCATGTGTTGAGCAAATTAATGAAAACCATGCATTTAAAATAACCTAATAGGAAGGGATCGAATTAAGCAGTCAAGACGAGCACAAATCTTAGGAATAAGCAGCAGAAATCCTGTTTGGAGAAGGGAGCTCAGAAAAGTGTCTTCCAGTTTCTTATATAGAAAGTCAGTTTATTGTCACTTCAGGTTGTTCCAAAGTTATTTTTAAAGTCTGAAAGACTGTTTTTATGAAGTCTAGTGATCATCTCTGCTGTTGGCTTTATACTCAGACCTTATTCTGTGTTCAAATATTTATTTATATATTTTTCTCTCTGTCATATTTTAACTTTCATTCTTTTTAACATATCTGATATTTTTGGATGTATGAACCAAGGCCCTAATTTTCCTTCCTTTATAAGTAATTAAATAATTATGTAAGCATTATCTTTTGAATGATCACAATAGATAAAATTTTAAAAGACAGTTAAGCGCTGAGGGTGTTATATTTTTGAGAAACAATACGAATAAAAGAAATATGGGAATGAGCATAATATATTCATGAGACTGTGAGACTATTTTGACTAGAATGGTAGATTCATGGGGCACCTGGGTGGCTCAGTCAGTTAAGCGTCCAACTCTGGATCTTGGCTCAGGTCATGATCTTACAGTTGGTGAAATTGAGCCGCGCATCAGGCCCTGTGCTGACAGCATGAGCCCGCTCAGATTCTTTCTTTCTCTGCCCTTCCCCCACCCGTGTGTGTGTGTGTCTGTGTGCATGTGTGTGCACGCTCTCTCTCAAAATAAATAAACTTAAAAAAAAAAAAAAAGGCAGATTCATGCTACAGAGTGGCAGAAAGGCAATGTGTCGAGTAAGAAAAGTCCCAGATTCTAGGGAGCTTCAGATGCCCTGTGTGTAATAATGTTCTACGCAATAGAAACAATAGAGTATTTTAATTTATAAATGAGCACCAATAAGTCATGACATAGTGAACATTCTAAATTATTGAAATAATCTTTTGAGGTACAGAAATTTTACCAGTAAAAGTTCTGAAATATGAAATGGCTTATGGCTATGATCGTAGCTTTTCAGTTAATATAAAGCATCTAGTAGATCAAAATAATGCAAGGTACTGTAGCTAGACATCAACTTGGTGTGCACCTTGTTAGCAATGTTTCATGACTGTGGAGGAGCCAAAAATATAAGTAGTAATGCCAGAATCATTAGAGAAATGATTCCTTAAAAACCGACTGGTTTATCTGATTACCAGCAAGTCATTGCCTATGATGAGAATAGATGAGGAAAATGATTAGTTCAGTGTGTCTAAGACAAAGGCTAAAGAGTTAATGTACTTTAAATTACAAAACTGAGTAGCTGAATAAGCTTCTCTTTGAGTTTCATTTATTTATTTCTAAAATTGTGGTAGGTTTTATAACTTCTAGTGAAAAAAAGACTTGTTTCCATGCATTTAGTACTTCCTATTTGCAACTTCTTTTCAAATTCCGTTTCCTGTTTTAATTCTACAACCTATAAACTTATTTTTTTAAGGGTGTCACAACAGATACTACTCCTGAAGCATTCTTTAATCCCTAAATTGCTTAAAATCATTGAAACATGAAATAGTATTTCAGGCTCATAAATAAGGGAGATGTGTCATTTAATTGTAAAACTAAGCTGCTGCAGCCCAGCGTTTCTGAATAGCGTAGATATCTAAACTGCCACAGGCAAAGCCGAATGGGAGAGGATCTAAGAAGCAGTGAGCCACTGAAATGTTAGGACCTACCTCTGTGTAGTATTAATACTCGCAGCTTAGCAGGCAGCTGTCAGGGACAAGTCCTTTGAAATGTTAGCATAAGCAGATTCAAAGAGGGTTGTACAGATGCACACGACATGCTGGCTCTTCCTCCAGTCATATGCGTGCTATTGATATCTTTAGATACAAATGACACTGAACTTTCTGTCATTCATTTCTGGCTTTCTGCTGGGAGCCACCCCCCCCACATCCCTATTAATTTTTGTTTTTGTGCCTGTAAAAGTGGGGCATTTGCTATGGAATTATATTTGGGAACCAAATTTTTATTTGCTGTGAACGTATCGTTAAAGATCATAAGTGAAACAAATGTTTAATCACCACACTGGTTGACAAGGCAAAAAAATTTCATAACAAAGAAAACAACATATAAATAAGATAAAGAATACTTACATCTGTCTAGATATAAACGTCCTTGGGCCTAGAGCTATAGCCATTCTTTGGGCTACTTATATTTTAATTGGATTAAGATATCTGGAGTTGTGCAGGTTAATAATTTATGAGCCAAGGGCTCCTTCTCATTTATAACCTAAAACAATGCAAAGAAAATGTATTTGGTCAAGGATCAAGGGATTTTTACTATTTTTCTCAAGAGATTAACCTCTCATTATCAGGAAATAACATTGCAGGATGAGCATCACTAGGTTGGAATGCTAAGCCCTAGTAATATAATTACTTCCTTATTTTTCAAATAGTTTTTCTCTGTTACACTAATAATATATATGAATTCTAGAAAAGAATAGAAAATTCTGGTAAGGGTCTTTGCTACAAAATTGTGCATTCAGGGAAAGTTATGGTCCTTTTCTTCCAACATCCAAATGAAATCACAGAGGTGAAAATAAGAATGAACCCACAGTACTATGCCCAGAGCAAGGCAGTCGACAAGACAGTTTGAAGAATTTCTGGAAGATACAGAGCAGGTGGGATTAGGCTGATGAAAATGGATTGGGAATCTACTCTTCACAGTCCAGTGAGGGAGCTGCTGGAGAAATGAGAAGATAGTATCTGTTTCTAGAGCGTCAAATATACTGAAAGCGCAATCAGCAGGGCTTAGGAAGAAAAACAAGTTATGGGGCAACTTGGGGGCAAAAACAGAACCCTGAATATGATGTGAGAAGCTAGAGCTGAGCTAAAGGCTATCTAGTAGAAAAGCTGCAGAGAAAAACTAGTATTTCTGCTTTTGATGCCAAAATATTTTTAAAATGTCTTTCTCAATTTTACTGGGGAGACCACGAACCCTAGTGGCAAATTAAAGCGATTAAATCCTGGCCTTTGGAGACAGATGAATGGCAATTCGCATCCTTGGTCATATTCATGTTTGGAGATTACTTCTTCGTTATAGGGTTGGTTTGAAGATTGAATCAAATCTGTCGATCATATTTGACAGTGAATGTTCATGTGAGTGTTGGGGGAGGGTAAATTTAGAATTAGAACGTACCATGGTGTCTGTATTTCTGCCTTAGGGGGATATAGATTTTTATTTTTATTTTTTTATAATGTCTATTTATTTTGAGAGAGCGGAGACAGAGAGAGAGAGAGCAAGTGGGGGAGGGGCAGAGAGAGGGAGACAGAGAATCCCAAGCAGGCTCCAAGCTCTCAGCGCAGAGCCCCAAGACTGGGCTCGAACTCAACAAACTGTGAGATACGACCTGAGCTGAAACCAAGAGTCAGAGCTTAACTAACTGAGCCACCCAGGATTTTTTATTAAAATCTCAGGAAATAACAGTTCCTTCCAAAAAGTTTAAACAAATTTTCCGTGGCATAGCAGGACAAACCAGCATGAAGACTTCTAGCCAAGGAAGAAGCCTGTTTTAGGACAGAGAGAAGAGCCACAAAACCCAGCCGAAGAAGGATCCCTTCTCAGAATACTAAGCAGCGGGGCCTCTGGTTTTGTGCAGAGGGTTAGGCGGTGGTAGGAGAAGGGGATGCAAAACTTCCTTCCTGCTCATTAAGAAAGGGAACTCTGTGCCACGGCATAAGGAAAGACAAATTTTTTGAAAATAGTAAGAAGGCAAACCTAGGTGGCCCTGACTGAGTGTTATGTGGAAACTAATTTGACAATAAACTATTTGTAAAAAAAAAAAAAAAAAATTATTGAAATATTAAAAATAAATAAATAAAAACATCTTTTTAAAACTGTGGGGTTGTTTTTTTTTGTTTTTGTTTTTTTTTTTACATTTTCTGTCTGGATATCTCCAGTCTTCCTATAGTAGGTGCACAAAAATATTTGCCCTTTTAAGTGCCCTGGGCATGGGGATGGAGTGAGTGGGGAAGGAGCTGTCAATTGTTTGTCACAAAGG